AAAAGTATTTTTGCGTTCTTCTGATGTAGGTACAGACGGCCACGATGAGTTCACAGTCACCTAAGTTTGCGACTGTTCAAAACTTGGAAGAGACTAAATTCGAGACGCTGGGCGGACCTATCACACCGACTGTGGCGTCACCATTAAACAAGAAGCCTCCAGTCTTACATACAGCACAGGTTGTCCTTTCCAATGAATCACAGGTGAGATTGGAAACAGGTCACCTCATGTATAATTGAAGCTATCTTTAAATAATTTTAAAGGGCAATAAGAGGCGTCACTGAGAAAATGGCTATTCTGCCATGCCCTCAACTGTACCCGAAACAAGAGAAGGGATTCCAAGTTTGGAAGCATCAAAACACTATCAGCTGCACGTGGTCCTCTCATAGAAGAATTAGTCAAAAACATGGTCACAGGATCAGCGTAAGGAGCGTTCAATTTGAATTGGACCCACTTTGTTGGCATATAAATGGATCTGAATCTCGATTGTCAAATGTGACCACCTGCCATTATACGTCAACAATAATCACTTCCGTTGCGTTGACAATGGGAGGACTTGTTGACACCCCCCAACCGATCCTGAATAGGCTGTCACACTAGCCCATGCCAGTCAAAAGAGGAAGCTGACTTGGCTCGCCAATTTAAAATGGTTGTGGTAGAATTTTCGGGTTCTTTGGTGGCACAATAGTAGCCCATACTCTGGACACTTTCGCTACAAGTTGTGCATATTTTTAAAAATATCGACTGTGGAACTGAGATTTGCAAGCTGACACGAATCCTCGCCTCAAATGAAACAGGGCTAAGTATACAAAAAAATTAACAATTCTTCAAATGTGAAAATCAAAGTGCTTCTTTCTTACTATTACGGGCTTAGATTCACATGGCCACGATGGAATTTGCCAATGCAGAGCCCAAGCCGTCAACGGAGCACAAGATTACCCAGGGGCGACCGATGACACGAGCAGCAACAGCGGGTTTCTCAGGCCCTCCTCCACTCTCCGCCTTTGATCTCATGAAGTCGGGAAAGATTCCGACAGGCTCAGATGAGCGGAAAATGACTCGAAGGCGTACACTTCCCTCCATTCTTACTACACCACCGTCAACAGCGTCGACTCCTCAGGTAAGCAGCAAGACGACCACGCTGAAGCGACATAAGGTTGTGGCAGTAGGGATTGGAGGTGGCGGAAGCCGACTCTCTCCCGCTTCTGTTGCGCCGTTGGGAAATCCGGCTGGTGAGAAGCACTTTGTAATGCCTGGACTCTCCTCCAACTTGGACGACATGCACCACAGCTCGGAAAACCTTGTGGAAACATACATTATTGAGGATGGGGTAAAGAAGCGGGTGCAACCAACTCGAGTTTCTGAAGCTGGCGGATTGTTGGCGAAGGGCAACACTCCTAGTGCTGCAGGAACGCTTCGACGCGGACATGCAGTCTCGTGAGTCAGATGTAATGAGAAAACTTTGGATTTTTGCAAGGCTCACGCTTATCAATCCACCGTGTTCTTAACAATTTTATTGAAAACCAGGTAGCTTTCTTATCGTCTTCTTATCGTTTAAAGACCTGATCGACGCCTTAAGGGTGGTGAGGACACTCGACGATTGGCGGGCGGCACAGGCATGCCACACCGACTGGAGACGGACTTCGATACAGGCGAGTTATTGCCTCTGCCAGACGCCTACAAGATTGAGTCTGTGGGAAATTTGCGAACGGGTGGGCTTGAGACGAGCATGCCTGACGTCTCTAAGGGTGTTGAAGGCATGTTGCTAAGCAAGGGTGGCCCTGGTACATCTCGCCTTGGGATCGGTGGTCTTCTCACTCGTGACGAAGTCTGTCGTCTTGGTCAGCAGCGCCGACATGAACTGTTGCTTGATCGGGAGCGCAAAAAGCGCGGCGAAATCATTATCCGGCTGGCGGACATCAAGGTAAAACAGCCATCTAAATTTGTAACCGCATGCTATGCATCCTGGTGCCTTGCTTTTACCTTTTAAGTTAGTGTCGGATGCATTGTACTCAAGTTAGTGATTATTTATTTCAAATTATAGTGTCCTGAGAGGACTTATTAAAAATAAATCCGGAAAAGGCGCATCGAAAAAAAATGAGGTACGAAAACCAAAATGAGGTACGAAACCAAAGAGTGTCACACAAAAAAGAAGCATCCGAGTTTCCCCTAATGAGTTTGGCTAATGATTTAACAGTGAAACATCGAAACACTTGAGAC